TTTTATTTATTGATTTATTTTTATTATCTTATTTCATTTGTTTCATCAGGTGTTAATAGATAGGAAACGAAAAAACGTTAATGAAAATCGTTAGAACATCTTCGATTGTTCCGACGCGATCCGAAAAAGATAACTCTCGTTTACGTTCGAATTTATCCGCGACACTTTTCTCACGGCCCACAATGCCGATGGAAAAGTCTGCGGGTCGGCTTTATCGATCATTACCACCTCCCCCCCTGTACACACACACATACACACATACACACACACATACACATACACACATACAGAGATATATGATGCATTATTCCGTACCAAGTACGGTTAGAGTTATCGAGTAATTTATTATAGTATTAAAATCAACTGTATTGCGAGAATAACGGAGCACGAAACGAAGAAAGGCCTGTATCGACCATTTCTAACCCTTAACCCAAACACCCCCCTACTCTCCTGCCATATTCTCTTTAACCTTCTAAACCTCCCGCCCTTTTTTCCAACAACCACAATAACCAACATCACCACCACCACCACCACCTCCACTACCTCAGCATCATACACACGCGTTTTCCTTCCATCCCTTTTTATCAATCCCCCCTCCCCCTACCCTTTCCTCCAACTCCTTCTACCTTTTACCTCCCTACCACCACCCTACGCTCAACCTTTATCCTTATTCATAGAAGATAAGAAAAGAAAGAAGAAAAAGGAAATAAGAAAACAAAATAAAAAGAATATGTAAGAAAAAAAAAAAAAAAATAACTTCCCATCAAGTCCCGTTCTTGTATTCGTCCTTCTCCGCCATCCTCCGACAACAAGACAACATATTGTAATCTATTGTAGATTGTTGTAGATAAATTATACGGTTTCACCGTACATTGTTACTTTTTGTCGACAATATAAAATACACAGATATATAAGTAAATACGTCTTATATTCCTTTAACCTTATTTTTTCTACTTTACCAATGTTAAGATCAACTATTGATCGTAATTGTTGAATCTTAAGAGAATAAGAACATATATATATATATATATATATATATATATATATATATATATATACCTATATATATATATTACTATATATATATGTATATATATATATATATACCTATATATATATTACTATATATATATGTATATATATATATACCTATATATATATATGTATATATATATATGTATATATATATATATATACCTTTGAAAGAATTTAAATTTTGTTCACTCGTTTTTATTTGTTTCACAGAAAGTAGAAACCTTACAGAATAGAAGAAATATTTCAAAAGCCAATGGATTAATTATTTCGCATAATTATATACAAATCGATTGATTTAGATAATATGATATTTACAATGCTTAGTTAATTAATGCTTAATGATTTACATTTGGCATACTCGGTGATCCTACAACGTCTATTATGTCTCCTTTTACATCGGGTTCTGTTTTTGGTAATAGGGCTGGTGGTATTGTCAGAGTCTGAAAAAAATAAAAGAAGAAAAAGAAGAAAAAGGACAATCACAATTAAAATATAATTATGTCGTATTAGAATGAATTGTAAACAATTTTATTTATTTTTAACGATGTTACTTTTCCTGGTGCTAGGGCTTCGTACTGATGTCTTAACGATTGTAATTCATAATCGCAGGTAGATAAAGCACTTCGTAATTCATAATGAAGCACTATGTCGCTTCTTAATTCATTAAATTGCTGACATATTTGTTCCGTAGGTGGAGGATTTAATTCTGCAAGATACATTAATCGATATGGACATTCATTATTTTATATATGATCATATTAATAATATAATAATATAAAAATCATATGTCACGGTTTATTACCTATGCTTAATTCGTTTAACATTTGTTCGATGCCTTTCATTTTTTTTTGTCCAAGACTACTTGGCAATTTGATTCTTTGCGATCTCAATGAAACTCCACTGTTTTTGAAGTCAGGGAACTTAATACCGGCAGATTCTACAGCCTGAAAATAATTATTTTGTAGTTTAGCTTATCTCTAAAAAAAAAAAAAAAAAAAAAAAAAAAACAAGATTTAATATTAAATAGATGTATTCATACATGAGAAGCATCGGTTTTATTTGGTCTGTTCCTAGAAGAATTACTACTCTTTTTGGAAGGTTTTCTTTCGCTTTTTCTAGGATCTGCTTGATGATCTGCTGCTGTTATAAGTTTTTGCAAATCTTGAGTTTTTCTATCCCTTTCCTTCTTTCTTTGTTCTATCTTACGCAATTCAGCTAATAAAGTCTGTTCTTCTTCCACTTGTTCCGGAGTCCGTTCGAACAATTTCTTTAGTTGTTCTTTTCTACGTTTCTCATGTTCTGCATCAAAAGAGTAAACTCTATCTGTATGAGATTTTGCTTTAGTTAAGGCTGCGCAAACTTGATAATATCTAAAATTAAAAAGTGGGATATCACAATATATATACATATATTTATATATATAATTTACTTATATAATATATATATTCATATATATATATATATATATATATATATATATATATATATATATATAATTAAATAAATAAGAACAGAATAAAAATTAGAAAAAACCTTTCTTTCAATTCTTCAACAGTTCTGGCAGGAAATTTGGCTCTATCCCATCTATCTTTAATTATAATAAATCTAAGATCAAATCTTCTACATAAATCAAACAAATGATCTGTCTCTGCTCGAGTCCAACCATTAGTAACTAAATGTTGAACATATTCTGCATTTGTGTACGTTGGTATGGGTACCTTTTTATTAAACTTAGCAAAAGGATATTCCTTTCCTGCATCAGCAACTCGTCTCCAATGATGGAAAACAGCACCATCAGTTCTAGCTGGATTAGTAAACGGAGTCCATTTCCATGGTCTTACCTTTTTCATACCTAACTTAGCTCTAACTTGTTTATATCCCTTAGCCGTATCGGTTGGAAATAATGGTGGTACGTCATTGTTATCCTTGCACAATAAAGCGTACACCTCTCTGTGCATACCCTCTGGACGTTTGGGTACCTTATACTCATATTTCTTTTTGTTCTTTTTATCACTTCCCAAAATAGATTCTTTCGTAAGTTCCGTAGTAGTTGGAACTTCGATATCCAATATATCACGTACATCTGACATTTTGTCGTTTCAATTTAACTCTTAATTTTCAAAAATCAACGAAATTGAGGTTATGTTACAGGCGTTATAAACAATCGCATCGTCGAAAAAAATATCATTTTTTAGGACTCAAATTTAAAGTCCTCGTCAAAAATACATTTCTATCGATGATAAAACAAACGGCAAATCATATGGAAAATAAATTGATCACTGTTTACACATAAAAAATATGTTCAAAACATGCAGCTCTATCGATGACACGATAGTTTGACATGACGCTGAAATGTTTCGACTACAGCAGCGCCACCTCTTAGATATAACTGTAATTTTTTCTCAATATTTATTACATTTGTATTTTCGAAACTCTTTATGGGTCTAATATAATCCTTTCTACTGATTATTTAATAAAAATATTTGCATATACATATACATATATATATATATTTATAAAAATTATTTTTTTATCTTATATATTTTCTAAATTTATATAATCATGTATATACGTACATAGTTTTAATGTCAAAAGAACATTTTATCAATTTCGTATACACGACACGAACTTATTTTAGAAACGTTTTCGTAATACTATCACTAAAAATCACGAACTTGGAACAACTCTCTCTCTCTCTCTCTCTATCTCTCTCTCTCTTTCTCTCTCTCTCTCTCTCTCTCTCTCTCTTTCTCTCTTTCTCTCTCTCTTTAATCTAATAGATTAGTTAATACGTTTAGTTTAGATTTAATTTTAAATAATCGTACCTATTGTAATCGTTAAGGTAGGTCAAGGTAACTTCGACCCACTTTGATCCTCGCTGATTTTCGACATCTATACATATATACGCATACATATCTCGTATACATATATATGCATGCGTAATACTCATGCACATACATGTTACAAAGTATTTCTCATATACAATTATTACATAATCTGTTACAGTTCACGGATACGGTAAATTGAAATATAAATGCTTATTAAATATGTAATGAAAACGAAAAAAAAAAAAAAGGAAGAAAAAAAAATAGGAGAAAAAACATTAAAAATTATTTTCACTATATCATCATTAAATCGAATTGAATTAATTCATTATTCTCGAGCGATGATACAGTATGTTATTTGATCGATCGATTAAAAAAAGTTTCCAACAAAGAACAGATATAATTGATTAAAAAGATTTACCGGTGCATTACCAAGATATTATCGATTAATAATTAAACGAAGAGAAAAATTAACGCGAGACAAATAATTCTCTCACGAGTATATGAAGTAAGGCCAATAAAGAAGTTCATATGATTTGTTTCTTTCGAGTCATCTTTGTGATTGGTAGTTTAGGTTAAAAACGTAAATACTTACACATCATATACGTTCACTTTTATAGGTATGTATACCCTTTTAATTTCTTTTTTGTTTTTTTCTTTTTTACCGTCATCTCTCTCTCTCTCTCTCTCTCTCTCTCTCTCTAATTTTCTTCTTATGGATGTAACACTACTACATATTACATTAGTCACGTTACCTTACTACCGTATACAGTAAATGACTAGTGAGCTCGTTGTGTTCGAAATCAAAGGAGTGGGGAGTATAGATCGTTGTGTACACGGCGAAGAGAGGTAAAGGAGTTTGAAAGAAAGGGAAAGTTCAGAGTGAGAGAACACCGGTTGGTTAGATCTTCGTGTTCAGTACGCGAAAAGCGAGTGGCGAGTGGTTCACTCGGTATACAAGTACGTTTCGGAGATAATCTCTCTCTCTCTCTTTCTCTTTCTCTCATATACGGAATTTCTTTTTCTTCTTCATCTTCTTCTTCTTCTTCTCTGCCTTATACTTTTTCTTCCTTCTTTTTCTATTTTTTTTTTCTCTTTTTTTTTCTTTTTTTTTAATTTCTTTCGAACGAACATACTTTTTGAAAAAAAAAGAAATATATATATATGTATATATATTTGTGTGTATATATATATATATGTATATATATATATATATGGGACGACATGAAGGACTCAGTCGGTATCGTTTGAAAAAGTTTCTTTGTTCTCGCAGATAATTGGAATGGTACAAAGGTGAGTTTTGTAAGATAAGAATATATATATATATATATATATATATATATATATATATATTTGTGTGTGGCGTGTGTGATTGTGTACCTTGTGCGTGTGTGCGTATACATATGTATATTTATCGTAATGTATAATTTTTATTAGAATATATTTTATTGGTTTATATTTTTGTTTTATTTTCAAAAAAAAAAAAAAAAAAAAAAGAAAAATAAGAAGAAAAAATAGAAAAAGAATTATTATCGATTTGTTAGAAAATTATTCGATCGAAATTAAAACGTTTATTTGTTATTGAAAATAGATATTGTTTGTTCAAACACAATATCATTTTAAGAGGATTATTTTTAATAAGATCGCGTAATATACCAATTTTATAATTTATATATGTATTTCGATAATCGATAAATTCATGTACACTTCTGTTCATATATTTTTTTTATTCCTTTTAAGAAAGTTATAGAGAATATATATATATATATATCTGTTTTGTTTCTTTTTTTTTCTTTCTGACAAAACTAGTTTCATAACAAGATTGTGAAAACGATTATTATTCGAGCGTGAAATATTTCTAAAAGGTTATTTCGATGGGATCGCTTGAAATATTATAAAAATTTTACGTGTCAATTGTGCGCTTTTATATTGAATTCCTTCGTTTTACAAATATTTTTATATTATTTTTTATTTCTTTCATTGTTTGTTTACTCGCCAAATTATTTATATCGTCTTACATTATTTTATCAAAAGGAGAAAATAAATATTTCTTTTTTTTTTTTTTTTTTCTTAATTTAGAATTTTTCGCTTACTTATGTCCTTCGAAATTAGATATGCATCCTCATATGTATGACATATGTATGACATATGTATACATGCTCTTGATATTTTATTATCTTTTTACGTTCACTGTAAGCATATATATATATATATATATGAGTCGTTTATTTTGAAAGTGGCCTAACTCCATTTGTCAATTTTTTCCAGTTGCTATAATTACATGTACAACTTTATCTTATTTATCAGTAAAGCATTTCAGGTTGCTTATATTTCGAGCAAATACGATAATTCTAGACACATAAGTTTTCAGAGTTAGTTCAATAATTTAACCGTTTATTTTGAAAGTGGCCTAACTCCATTTATACTTAAATCAATGAATGAAAATGAAAATTTTAAAGTCCTGAATTTATTTACACATCGGGGTAGACCAGGAAAATTCGAAAATATTGTATTGACACCACTGTATAAAAATATCAGACAAATTACAACAGAAAAATTCAAAGACATAATTGACCTATTACGATATATATCACCGGAACATCATGATTTCACAAAATCTAGATGAGTAGTAAATTATTTTGTAATAAATTTATGTTTGTAAGTTTGTACGTTATGTAGTTAAAAAATGTTTTGAATCGCATAAATTATGTTTTCGAAGTGTTTTAAAGATATGTAAAATAAATTGAGTATTGTTTTTTTCAATTTGAAGCATCTTAAATTATGTTGAATGGATTTGGGCATCTTCAAATTTTATAATGAATCTGATTGTTAATTTTGAAAGTGGCCTAACTCCATTCTTGATAAGAAAACGCATATTATTCATTTAATAATTGCCACTACTTTAATAGAAACCATAAATTTAACACTCTTAGATACACTTAAGTAGTATGACTCATTAGTATTCTATACGTATATTTTTAAATTCATTGAAACGCAAACCTTTAAATATCTCAATTTGAAGATAAATGGAATTAGGCCAATTTCAAAATGAACAGCTCATATACACGTTTATTGTTTTCTTTATTATCAAACTTTATTAATATGTCATTTGCACATTAGTTAAAAGAATTACGTTAGTTCACTGGTATCCTCTTTAAGATCTGCGCACGGTTAAATAATACTATTATAGAACGCTTATGCAATCGAGAAAATTTCACTTTCCACGATGCAATCGTGTCCGGTTGAACGTTCGTGATGAGCGGTCATATATGTACTTGTATTCGTAGTTACACATAATATTTCTCTATGTATGTACGTAATGTATCATATATACACGTTTATATATGCGGAATAGCATGATATCAAAGTAATTTTTCAGTAGAATACATATACTTTATTTTTAACCTCTCACTTCACTTATATATATGTATACGTATGTATGTATGTGTATATATATATATACACATATATATACACATATATATATATATATATATATATATATACATGTCTTCGTCTATCTTTCTTTCTTTCTTCTTTTCTTTCTCTTTCTTGTTCAACAAGACAGCCAGGACCTCACCTAACCGGTCTCAAGACCAGTGAACAAGCAAACGTTTATAATCTTTTACAAGGACGTTATGTTATTCTTGTAAGTCAATCCAGTAACTTCTTGTCTTACGTGTTTTTCATTTATTTCTTTTATTTTATTTTTTTTTTTCATTTGAAAATTCATCTTTTCAAATTTCCTATAACATAAATTTCTTGAACTTTCGATCAATGCTAAATCGATCGTAATTCTAACGTAGTAAGCAATTCTATCGTCTATCGTGTTTTTATTCGTCATTTAGTATTTCTATTGAGAAATAATAGGATTCTAATTTCTTTCTTTTCTTTTTTCTTTTTTAGTAATTATTAATAATCTATTTAAAAAATACATTACAATTACAATTGAAAGAAGGGAAATTTAATAAATAATTTATATACATTATATATACGCACATACATATAGAGAGTGAGAGTGAGAGAGAGAGAGAGAGAGAGAGAGAGAGAGAGAGAGAGAGAGTGGGAGTGAGAGAGAGAGATGAAATGATTTAGATGAAATGATTTTTGATTTTCTTCTTTTTTTCATTCTTTCTTTCTTTCCAGGAAATTTTGAGAATGAGTTGATCCATCATCGCTCTTCAATGACCTTAGTCCTCTTCGTTGTCGTGCGCGCCCTCTATCGAGTTTCATTGGTTAGAGGCAACACACGATAATAACAAGAAGGAGAAGGAGAAGGAGGAGAAGAGGGAGAAGAAGGAAAAAAGAAGAAAAAGAAGAAGAAGAAGAAGAAGAAGAAGAAGAAGAAGAAGAAGAAGAAGAAGGTAGTGGGATCATGTTAGAACCAATTTTCGGAATATCACCGATCTGGTGGTTGATGTTATACGCTGGTTTGCTGTTATTACTATCACCATTGGTGCTGTTGCTGATAGTTTTTCTACCAAATTTCCCGCTATTGCTTCTACGTAGAATGTGTTATATACCGATAGAATCGATATAATGATTTCGCCGATAGAAGAAATTCAAAGGAAATGAGAGGAATATTTTCAAATGCGAAATATGAAATTTTTCTTTTTTTTTTTTTTTTTTTTTTTTTTTAAGCATTATATATTAAAACATTTACGAGCAATATTTATCAACGATTTGATAGATTTGACAAATTGTTAACTTTTTCCATTGGCTTATTTTACATGGAAGATTTATGTTGATCTTTTTGTTAAGAGAGAAAAAATGGACAGAGATAGAATAATGTAATATATATCTCTGTCGTTCTTTATTCAAATCGATTCGAACGTCATGTCGATTTTATATACGAAAATATTTCGATCTATTTATTGCGACGTAAGATTTAGTATTGTCTAATGTATTTCTTTTCTTTTTCTTTTTCTTTTTTTTTCTTTTTTTTTCTTTTTTCTTTTTTTTTTTTTTTTGTTTTTTATTTGGAACCACCAACTTCGAATATTGTTTCAACGTATGTAATTTTCTTGATATTTTTCGATAAAATGAAAAATGGAAGAAAATCAAACGGCAAATGTCGAAAGATCAAAATTATCGGTACAATTGATACGTAAGCTTTTAACGTACGTAGTAATAATGTCTGTTTAGAGTTAAACTTAATGAAAAAGAAATCGTACGATTACTATGCAATTATATACGTATATATATATATATTTTTTTTTTTTGTTATACTTATTTTTTTCGTGTTGATTTGATATTTATGAAACGTTAATATCTCATTATTCAATTAGAAATCTAAGACGTTTCCAATTGTTTTTCTTTCTAATATGCAAGCACGATATTGCAATATTTTTTTATATTAAAAATGCGAATTTTTATGAAAAAAAATTACTTTCAAACATTTTTTATCTATTTGCTGATTAAGAAAACTATATATATATATATATATATATACATATATAGACAATATATAGAAGAAATCAAATTCAAGGATAATTTAGTCGAAATTCCATCAATTTGATTAATAGGCACGTGCCAAGTTATAATTTTAAAAGAAATTTCCTTGTGTAACTGGTATATATATTAATATATTCTATGTTATGAGAATTTAATTAACTACTCGTGCAAGGACTTTATAAACGTAACAGTCAAGTACAAGACATTATATAGAAGCTAATACCAGGACGTATTAAAAAAAAAAAAAAAAAAAAAAGCTTTCGCATAGTTAGATAGAAAAACTAGCGATCTGGCGAAAGGAAATGAAGGTAGCGGACGATGAATTATTTATGAAAGTAAATCGTAAATTTTCAATGTATTCAACATTGATATTATATTAATATATGTGTAAATTATGAAATTTAAAGTCAAAGACATTATGTCGTCCGATGGCTCTTCAATATTATCAAATTTTTCTTTCAATGTTATATTTTATTCATTATTATAATGACAATTAGGAAATTTTTTTATCAATTCTTTTACAAAAAATTATTTTATCAAATTTCATTAATGGTCAAATAATATTATTACGTAATAATGCAATATGTGTTTGTATATATGTATATACATGAATATTTATATCACGTATATATTTTATATGAATATATATATATAGATATATATTGATATAAAATATATATATATATAAATTATGAAAAGAGAAATTTGATAAAAATGAAAAGTGACATTGGCCATTATTATATTTCAACTGCACTTCAAATTTTACGTAGGTATAAATATGTAAACAAGAGATCGGTATTCGATTAAATCGATTATATATTTTTGTATATCTCGTCCTAATAAGGTGACATCAAAATGAGAGTTTCGTTCAAGGTAGTAGCCCACTTTCGTTTTCAAATATTACGATATGTTGTTCAATCGAATGATATATTTATACACACATACACACACACACGTGCGCGCACATACATATACACACATATATATATGTATATATATTTATGTATGTATATATATATATATATTTATACTATATCGATATATGATTGTTATCTAAATCTACGGCGTTCTTCGATGATTATTATTGATTCAATAATTCAATAATTTATATAAAAAATGTAAAAGAAAGTATCCTTGCACGTTAGATTCGGATGGAACGTCAACCAGGTTGACGTCCTTTTACGTTTTATCAGCACTCCTTATATTATTATAGTCAGACTCGAAGTTGGGACCTTATAGTACATGACTATCGGTGAGTACTTTCGCCGAGTTGGTTACGTAGTGGGGGAGTTGGGACTTGAACCCTGAGACCCCATGAGCCATATATACTACGGGAGCATGCAGCTCTCTTGCTACTTGCTGTCAGCTTCTCGACGATCCCCGTTCTTAACAGACAACATTTTTCGACACGTAGCTTCGAGAAGGGCAATTGTGGCGTTGATACGATAAAGGTGAGCATGTTGTCTTTTTATTAAAGAATTTTAATAATTTAAAAATATTGCGACAAGTTCTTTTTCCTCTTTTTTTTTTTTCTTTTCTTTTCTTTTCTTTTTCTTATCTTTTTCTTTTTATTTATCATCAAAATTTTTCTTTTCATTTATCAACAAGATCAAATGAACTAAGTTTATCATATACAAATGAAATATAAATCGAATGAAAATTAATTATTTTGTTATATATCATTAAGATTTTTTAAAATAGATTTGACGATAAATTTGTTTTCTTCTTGTTTTCTTCTTTTGGACTGATTTTTTTCTTTTCGTTTTTTTTTTCTTTTTTTTCTTTTCTTTGTTTTTCTTTTTTTTTCTTTTTTTTTTTTTTTATATTTGAGATCAGATGAACATATAGCGATCGCATGAACGCCTACAGTGGATTTTATTTCGATGAAATATTCTATGCACGCTCGCCTCGTATCTTTTATACATTCTCACATGCATACACGCAAGATCCTTGTCTCTCTCTCTCTCTCTCTCTCTCTTTCTTTCTTTTTCTCTTTTTTCTTCTCTCTCACTCTCTCTCTCTCTCTCTCTCTCTCTCTCTCTCTCTCTCTCTCTCTTTCTCTCTTTCTTTTTTTCTTTCTCTCCTTATCTTATTCATTCAGTTCTTTTGTTCTTTTTCTTTTCTTTTCTTCTTTTATCGACATACTACTTACCTTCCCAGAAACAACATCTAAGGCGAGTACGTCGACACGTGGCAGGAACGTGGATAAAGAATGTAGGACGTATATATTTATGTGTCGACTGATTTCATTTTATTTTTTCTTTTCTTTTTTCTTTTTTTTCTTTTTTTTTTTCTTTTTTTTTTTCTTTTTTTGATTTATTCTTCTACTTTTGAAATCAGTCAATCAGATAATTTTATTAATAATAACAAAAAAAAAAAAATAGAAAAATAAACATACGTTTATCGTGGTATGATAAAAATGTAGATATTAGATTAAATGAAGGTCTTTAATGTAACCCATTGAATTGCAACATACATGTCCATTGAATTTTATCGTTGATTCGTTCTTTAAATAATTATTATCTTTGATTTAGAATCTATCGATATTCATATGAATAAGTTGGAAATATCTTTGTTCGATAATTTTTATAATACAATTATACGTAATGTCAATAAAGGTATATCTAAACGTTTCTTGAAGAATTTAGAATTTAGATTTATTCATGTTAAGATCAATTATGTTAATATATAGTATTATACAAAAGAAAAAGAAAAAGAAAAAAAAAAGAAAGATAATACAAGAAATTTAATCCCATTAAGTAGCCTAATCTTTCTTCAGATGAGGATCCTGATCGTATCGCTATTGATATGCATCGTGGCATCAGAACCAGGCTTATTGAGGGTGCCAAAAGTATACAACGCCGTTATCACAAGTAATCAAAATCTTTCACCGTCGAGAGCTTATCCAGTGATACAACCAGTGATTCATCGAACTGCGATTGGTTACGTGCCACCATTTTATTATACTCACGTAGCACCTCATCTTGCTGGACCAGAAGTGATACATTTACCGCGTACAGAATCACCGAATATTGAAAATATTGATAAACCGGGAGACGATGATGCTTCTAAGGAATCAATTACGAAAAAGGAGGATGGTTTGGATGGTTCTAAAGTGAAGAAAATTGTTGAAGACTCGTCGAAGAAAAATGAGAATGGAAAAAATGGAGAGGACGACGTGCCACTTAGCTTTTATCCAAATTATCAATCGCTCTATTACGATCCTTATTTTTATACTTATAATACGTTTAATCCTCATCTGATACCTGGAACATATTATGTCGATTATCAACCATTCGCATCAATTCCACCTGTTATTCCAAAACCATCATCGACTGGGCGTCTTCAATCGAGTCATAGTCGTGATGAAAATAACGATGGCATTAGAAGGAAGGAAGAGGGAAATAAGAGAGAGAAGATACCAGATGTACCACCACCGCCAGTGCCAACATCATCTCCGAATAACTCGCGTTGAGTTATTTTAATCGATGGATGAATGTGTTCTCAAAATCCCAGTTTATTGATTTGTAAAATGAAAGAAAAAGAAAAAAGAAAAAAAAAGAAAAAGAAAAAGAAAAAGAAAAAGATAGAAAAAAAGGCAAAAAAAATTAAGACAATTTTGAGAACCAACGCGCGATTTGAGAATACAACATTCTCGAGGATTCTTCTTGAGAAACTTTCGAGGCTGATAGAGACTGCACAAAATACACATTGTTCGTAGTTGAAATTTTCTTTTTCTTCTTGAAAAATTTTCTTAAACGATTTTATAATATAACAATTTTAGAAATTTTCTTTCTCTTTTCTTTTTTTTTTTTTTATCGTATTTTTATTTTTTCTTAACAAAATTCAATTGAGTTTAATTAGCCGCAAGTATCATTTTCCTTCGCCATTGCCCAAACTTTGATCGTATACGAGAAACCTTTGTTTTCGGGTCCTTTGAATTTGAGTTTGACGTGTCTATAATCTGGTCCGCCTGATTCGTTAGAAACATTTTCTTTGGTATTATTGATTGGGTTTACTTTAACGCAAGTTATACAAAGTGGCCCATCAATGATAACTTCAAAGACAGCTTCAAGATTGGACGGTCCTTTTAGGTTTAGCAACAAATTGTGTTGATAAACCAATGTACCGTTGCATGTACCCCATATTAGATTTCCATCAGTAGCCTAAACAATGTAAAATCGTTGAAAGATGTTGATATATATATATATATATATATATATATATATATATATATAGTCTTTTTTAACCCTAGTTGTACACATCTCAAAAAAAAAAAATGTCAAATTGCGCACTTGGTGCGTTCTACATCCTAGACACTTTGAACAGCCTGTCATTTATACAGAACGAATAATTTTGACTCCAAAAAATACTGTATATTTTTGGAAGCTTCAGAAATAATAATCAGTAGGTTTGAGAGCGTATTTTCAATTCTGTCATTAAATAAAAAAAAAAAAAAAAAGAAAAACACGAAAAAAGAAAAAAAGCACTCATTAATCACGTAAAGCGCAAATCGTTTCAATTGAGTTCAAAGTTGGTCTGAGATCTCCTATAATCCACAGGCATAACTAGGGTTAAATCAAAATTAGTCGACTTACTCTGTTTGGTCTGAGTGGAGGAGATTCGGTAGTTCTTTTAACAATCGACTCCTTTTTTTTATTCGTACAAGATAATGTCAATTTGTTTCGTGTTTGTTTCGAGTATGCACTGTGTAAAGTTATGTTCGTACAATTATGAATAATAGGTAAAGTATAATTCGTGATATTCCTTAAAATGTTCTCATTGATCTCAGATTTTTTATAGTCAAAATTTTCTTTTTTCTGATTAACTCTTATATTCTTTAATTCTGATCCAAATGACGAATTATTCGATGAAGCTTTAAATATATCCAAATTTGGATCGTTCATGTTTTTAAACTTTTTAATCCTTTCGTCTAACGTTCCATTGTTTCTATGAATGATTCTTGAACTATTATTATTGTATCGTTTACCATATTTCGTGGCTATTTCACGCTGACGTGCATGAAACTTATCCATAACTGCCTTTCTCTGAACATAATAATCCGTTGTATTAATAGCTCGTACGTTTCTGTTCAGTGTTAATTCATTTGAAATATTTTCTACGTTTATATAACGATTGATCCCATCCATTGATATTTCTTCCTTCGAATTTGTTATATTTTTACGAGCTTTATTATTGTTAAAAACGAAGAAATACTTCTTCCAATCGTCCATTAAATTAATATCATTATTTTCGTTTTTATCCGATCTCAGATGATTTATTTCGTCGTATTTTATCAACAATTCATCCTCCTCCTTTTTAATTGAATAATCGTTCGTTGGATAAACTTCTGAAGATTCTAATTGATGATTCTTTCTGTGAACGAATTCCTTTATTTTTTTCCATCCTCTTCGAGAATCCAAATTTTCTTCCTTTTTCTTTTCAAAATTGTTGAATAATGTCACTCGTTTTTTGATAGACGTATCATCGTTGTCAATTTTCAGAGTCGATACTACATGATATGCTATCACTGAAAATAAAACTATCAAAGAAATAATAATTATATCGATTTTATTTCGCGTAATAATCATGTTAGACTACCGAATAGATCCGAGCTTATTCGCGATGTAAAGTTCAATGATGATATCTAATTTCTCGCGAACGACTTTGTCCGTTCATTATCTATGTTGCTTGGGGTCAGAAACCTCTATTGAGTCTCTTCTCGCGTCTCTCTCTCTGTCTCTCTCTTTCTCTCTCTCTCTCTCTCTCTCTCTATGATTTATTCTAAGAATAATAATGAGTCCATTAAAACTAACGATTATCGTATTTTATTGAAGAGATAATGGATATATATATACATAAATTAATCGATACATAGTAAAAGAGAGAAAAAGAGAGAGAGAGAGAGAGAGAGAGAGAAACTATTTATCGTTTCCGTATTTTTCTTTCGATGTCGTTTTGTTGAAAAATAAAATACATGCGATAAGAGAAATCCATTGATTTAAAATGTCATATTACAAATGTCCAATCAAGAAACTCGATAACTGTTAATATAATAATAAGTTTAATAAGATTTGAAGGTATTTTTTTTTATTTATTCTTTTTCTCTCTTTTTTTTTTTTTTTTTTTAACACACATCAATCACAAAGTTCATGATAATGAAATTATTTAGAAAAAATAATCTTACAATGTGAACATATTTATATCGATTTATAAAAATAAACGAAAGAAAAAGAAACGAATGAGTTTGGTAAATTACGAAAAGTTCAATGTAAAAATAATAAATTATTTAGAAATAAGAAATGAACATATTTATATCGATTTATTTAACAAAGAAAAAAGAAAAAAAAGAACAAAGAAAAGGAAAAGAAAAGAAATGAAATGAATGCGTTCGAATAGATTTGAGTTCAAATAAAAGATGAATGAATTATTTATCAAAATTATATTACAATGGATTTATATGAATAACCAATTGTATTAAGTAAATCAAAGAAAGAAGAAAACAAAAAAACAAAAAAAAAGAAATAAAAATAAAGGAAAGAAAAGAAAAATATTATTTAATCGCTTCGATAGTTATCGTATCGTCGTCGTCATAGTTTCCATCGTTAGTATCAGGCTTTCTTATTTCTTTTTCTGGCTCAACTTTTGTGTCCAATTTTTCGATACCACTATCGTCATCATTGTCAACATCGAATGGACGATCAGTCGATATCGGTGGTGATCCTGATACCGGGATAAATCCAGGATGAGATGGACTCAATACCGGATATACCTGTGATAATAAATATCGATACACACACACCTACACACGCACATACACATACAAAATATTTGAAAATATAAATAAAACTAATTTAAATTAATTTTTCATGTTACATAATACAAAATAGAAAATTATTATTGTTATTATTATTATTATTATTATTATTATTATTATTAATTACCGGATTAATTGGGAATCTAAAGTCGTAATAGTAATATCCATAGGGTGGCAGATGAGTAAGAGTCGTTGTTTGTTTTTCTGGCAAAATAATTGGACTTCCAGGTGTTAAATCAGTATGTACCTATGAAACATGTATCCTTTTGAAATTTTATTATTTATACTTTTATATAAATTAAACGAAAAAAAAATGTAATCTTTAGATTATATCAAAAAATAAATCATTTGTTATTATCATGAATTAGTTCAGTTTGAATAATTTATTATTATTATTATTATTATTATTATTATTATTATTATTATTATTATTATTATTATTATTATTATTATTATTATTATTATTATTATTATTATTATATAATTATTATTATAATGAAAATTATCCATTTATCACTTACCTGAAACGAATTGTATATATAATATGGTGCTAGACCACTCTGATGAGCGATTTGATAGTATTCAGGACGTATCGTTTGTGGATACTGATAATTGCTCTGATATAACTTAGCAATTGATGCAGATTGAATTTCGATGATTGAGATCGTCAGAATTAAAAAAATAAGCAACGACGTTCCACCCTGTTATTATTATTATAGATTATATATATATTTTTTTTTTCTTCTCTTCTTTTTCTTTTTTTCTTTTTAGCTAACAATAAGTTACGATAAAAACGTGATGAGAAATTTGTTATCTAACCAAAAGTATTACAAATTATGTTCCTGATACTTAACATGCAGATCACGTTCATCGAATATACTTAGATAAATAGAAAGGAAAAAACACAAAAAAAAAAAAAAAAAAAAAAAATAAACGTACGACCTTCGATTTATTCTAAGCCGATGTATTAGTTTTATTTTTCTTTTCTCTTTCTTATCTTTTCATTTAACTTTTCTAACACGTTAGAGAATGTTAAGTGAATAGAACGAATAAATAAAATGAGAGAGAGAGCGAGAGAGAGAGAGGGAGAGAGAGAGAGAGAGAGAGAAAGAGAGAATAAAGATTTCTTTGACGATCAGAATACACTATGGTCTTTGTATTCGCGGATGACTATGATTTTACCTGCATTGCGTACAGAGAATCTCAGTTATTGTCAGAGAAAAACTAGCACAGAACTAACTTGAATTTCAGCCCTACTCGCGATTTATATATCCTGTTCTCGAAGAGCAACACCCCCACCACGTGAATATCATTCGTGAGTCTTCCTTTTTAGTTTCTACAAGCCCATAGCCGTTGCTTTTTCTCATGGGCAATCGAGGAGGATGTTTTTGTAAGGAAGATCAACCATAATAATTAATTTTATTATACTTAACACGGCCGACAGAGGGAAAATTTGCACGAACAAATTTACGCTTGTATGATATGCTCTTTCTTGTTTGTATTTTTTTTCTTTTTGTACTTTCGTTTGTATTTTTGCCGTCTTTCATGCCTTCTCATTTTTTTTTAATTTTTAACTTTTCTTTTTTAATTTTTATAAATTAACACTAAGTCGATTTAAATTAATCCGATTGAATGATAATAATCATGAAAATTAAAATCGACATTATTATTATAGATACTTTTAAATATAGATAATTAAATTAAAAGGATATTAATCGTTCGTTATAAAATTGGCAAATCGATGATGTTAGAAATTATCGAGTTTCATTTCTTCGGTAATTAGTATCGATTTGTTCGTTTTTACTATCGTCCTTATCTCTATCGATAAATCTCCGACATTTTATTGTAAATACTTTAACAAGAAAAATTTTAATATATCTAGAATGACTCGACGAATGTATCGACCAAAGATGAGTAAAAAGAAAACAAGTTATATACCTATATATACGTATGTATATAGGGTGAGCCATAAGCATAATTCTTCGCATTCGGAAATATTTCATTTCTAATATAATCAAATGATAAGAAGATATTTATAACTATATAAATATATATATATATATTTTTTTTTTTCAATGGTTCAATTATTTATAATAAAGATAATTCTCGATAGTTATAATTAATGGACGTAGTAATTAAATTAATAATAATATGATGATGATTTCTTTTTAATACTTTCCATAATAAAAATCATTTTCGATAGTTATTGAAAATATAATTTTAATAATAATAAGAAGATAAAATTAACGTTATTTTAATCTGCAAGAATATTTTCTTTTTCTTTCTTTTTTAAACGATTTAATTATCTATAATAAAAATAATAATCTTCACAATAGTTATTGACGATATAAATAAAATAATAATATGAGAATATTCTTTTTAACGATCTCTTTTTATTCTTACTAATTTCTCTCTTTTTTATTTTGATTTTCTCAACTGTTAATAATAAAATTAATGATCTTCAATAGTTATTAATAATAAAATACAAAATATAATAGAATGACGATTCTTATAAGAATATTTTCTTCTGATAGCTTTATTTTTTTTTTTTTTTTTATCATGAAAATGATTTTCAATGGTGGTGATCAACAGGATAACATCTAAAGAATCATGTGACTCACCCTATATATCTATGGCGATGCAGATGTGTGTAAACCGGCTGAAAAATCGTCGAATTCGCGTTTAGATCATTTGGATGAGGAGGGTGTGGTCGAGTGTTATCTTTCACGTTCGAATTTGCATTTCTAATATTCCACCCGAAGTTGTAGGCAACGTCACCCTCCTACGAGACCGTAACACGATGCTTGATCGATGTTCCTTAGAGATCGAGAACGATCGTTCACATGGGTGTGGCTTTATTTAAAAAAAAAAAGAAAGAAAAAGAGAAAAAAAAATTAAACAAATAAAATCTTCCCTTTCTTTTTCATTTTCTTTTTTTTTTTTTTTTTTTTTAGATAGACCTGAATTTGAATTAAAATCATGAAATGTTTTTTTTCCCCTCCTTCTTTTCTTCTTTTATAGAACAAATAATTAATTTTTGTATATTTTTATCGATAAATCTTTTCATGAATATTATAAGCCTCATGTCGCATATATTTTATATTTGTTAAATTATTCGACAAAATTAATTAGATATTATAATTGAACGACATAACAATGATATTAATATTAATTTTAATTAATTTCCTCGAGAGAACACATTAATTAATATCAATTAATATTAATGACAATATTATATATGTATATATATATATATATATGTGCGTGTGTGAGTGTGTGTGTGTGTTTATATATAAAATACAATTCATAAATGTTAATTAATGTTGATTAACGCGTTCGTGTTTATCGAATTAATATTAATATTAATTGTTATTAATATTTTTCTTTTTTTGTTCGAATAATCGAATTGAAAAAATTGGACTGACTTCACATTGTACGTAGTCGTCCATCTTGATCGAGATCATTGTCTTGACCTTATGTAACCTTATCGTTTGCCGAAGGCAGGATGAGTCAAAAAAAAATCGCGGAGTTACCAAGGAAGCATAAAATGAAGATCTAGCGAGTTAGCGAGATCGAAAATTTTGTATTAAATATATTTACATCGTTGTATAGTCAGATTCTCGATTACCATTGAAATGCATTCGTCTGTGCGTCAGCAAAAGCCAAAATTGGTGTTACGTGTTAAAAGAAAAAGTAGACGAAGAGGACAGGCGCTTGGACTGGCAGAAATAAAATTTCGTTTGGAACGACGGAAGAAGATTTATCATGATGACGATAGTCAGAATAAAGGGTCCTGTGCCAGGTTAAATCTTTCGTCATAATCATTATTAAACGTACATTTTATACGGAAATATGTATATATGTCTGTTATGCGTTTTAATTCTTATTTACCAAAAATAAAATGAAAGAAAAAGATAAAGTTTCGTCGATAAAGTCGTTTGAAATCGTGTGAAATCGAATATATTTATATTAATAATATCGGAACGAGAATCAATTTAAATAATACACTTCAATTATTATAAATAAAATCGAAAAGATTATAATATTAAGTCAATAAAATTTCATTATTTATTCAAGACATTCGTAATTATAAATTTGAAGTATTTATACGCATGCATTTATATATACATATATATATATATATTTTTTTTCTTTCTTTTATTTTAATTACTATATCAGAAATTATTAAGTTCGTTTATCAGTTTAAAGATCAGTTAAAGATTTTTTCGTTTTTTTTCTTTTTTTTTTTTCTTTTTTTGTTTAAATCTCGTCGAGACCTTTTATAGATATCCAAGGTCGATCTGATCGTAAAAGATAAAACTTGATTTTGTAAATTCTTTAATGAAGAGATACCACCGGAAATGCTTTTGTTCGCGATCACTTCATTCGAATTAAAAAATTTCTTTTATTACACATATTTAACGCATTTAAAGACTATGCGTGCACGCTATGTGTGCACGCTATCCATATCTATCGTTCAATGGAATTAATATCCCACTTAGAATGACGTCAATATCTCTCACGAAGATGTTATTTTCGGGATTTCCTACGTGCACTTTAACATTACGTGATATTCCATGAGAAAAGTGAGAAAGTAGAAGTTAAACCATTTTCGCATTATTCTTATCACTTTTCTTATTTTTCAAAGCGATCACAGAGATTTGATAATTATTCGTTCTCATTTCTTTTTTTCTTTTTTTTTTTCGTATTACTTTTCATATTAAGTTTTCAAAAAAAAAAAAGGGAAAAAACAAAAAAAAGATAAAATAAAATAATAATAATAATAAATAAATAAATAAAATAAAAGAGAATGAAGATGAAGTGATAGAAATTCAAATTTGTTATTAAAAATATAAAATATGAAATTCTTACATGGATACACACACACACACACACACACAAAATTCATACAAAATTCATAATAATTATAAAATTTGATAATGAAAATTATGATATATTGATAAACGAATAAAATTGTTCGATTAACGAATGTCATATCGAAAGACAATTAGAAAATGATTTTAATGAATAAAAAGAATTGGAGATTAAAAGAAATAAAGAGAGAGAGAGAGAGAGAGAGAGAGAGAGAGGGAGAGAGAGAGAGAGAGAACATGTGGACCAGTTTGAACCAAGGCGCCCTTTCATATGAATCGATAGGAAAGTTCGTGAGGCGTCGACTACCCTCGTGGAACTTCGCACGCCTACTAATCAATCTGCAGTAGCTTTTCGTGTTTATCAACAAGTGCCGCATACACCTGATTCTGCTCTCAACGAGCACGTTCCTTTCATCTTTCTCTTTTTCTCTCTCTCTTTTTCTCTCATTCTCTCTCTCTCTCTTTTTATTTCAATCCATATATTACAATTTTCATCATTTTCTCTCACACTTTATATCTCTCCACCCCCTCCCCTCCCTCTCTCTCTCTCTCTCTCTCTGTCTCTCTCTCGTTTCATTTCGATATACGTGTAATATCACATCGAATTTTCGTGAGTGTGACGTCACGTAAGTAAACCATTTCGAACTGGATATTTCGTCCTTCTTGAATCAGTTAGGTCCTTGTAATAGGGCGTATTTAAACGATCTGTTTCATTTTTTCCTTCCTCCTTTTCCTCCTCCTCTTCTTCTTCTTCTTCTTCTTCGTCGTCGTCATCATCGTCATCGTCATCGTCATCGTCATCGTTATCGCCGTCATCGTCGTCGTCGTCGTCGTCGTTGTTGTCGTCATCGTCGTCGTTGTCGTCATCGTCGTCGTCGTCGTTGTTATCGTCGTCGTCGTTGTTGTCGTCATCGTCGTCGTTGTCGTCATCGTCGTCGTCGTCGTTGTTATCGTCGTAGCCGTTGTTGTTACTTTCGAAGGTTAGTCGGATGTTCGTACGGATGGCCACGAGAGCGTTTACGTTTTCATAGTCGTGTGTATGGGGGAACTATTAATATCGAGTGTAAGTGAATTTTCAATTTTCATTTTTAATCGAAGAAATTTTATTCAAAATATTCCTCTACGGTGAGCTCTCATTTCTTTTTCTCTTTTTTATAATCCTTTCATTATCTAATCGTTTATTTATTATCTTGTCATTGTCATTTTGTGCACTTACAGGTTGATTGTGATATAATGATATAATTAATTAACTAGCATATTGTGATTTAATATCATTCGAATAACTTTTTATTATTATATTTTATTAATGTGAAAAAATTTTATTAATATATATATATGTATTTATTATTCAATAGGTAAATATCTCGATTATTTAAATAATTCAATGTGTTTTGGTTTGCTCTTTTGGTTTCTTCTTTTTTATTTTTTCTTTTCTTCTCTTTTTTTTTTATATTATCTATTCGAAAAAAGAATAATTTATAATAACAATATGTATGTGTGTGTGTGTATGTGTGGGTATATTTGAGATTAGATATATTTGATAATAATATTTCAAAAGTATTAATTTACGAAGGATAAGGATTAATTTGTTTGTCGACTCTCATATATATATATATATATATATATATATATATATATGTATATATGTATATATATGTACATATATATGTATATTTCTTTTGAAATTGACATTAAGGTCGAGTGGTAGTTGAAGGAGACACGTGTTCGAGGTCGATTTCGAGGAAAGTGCATTGCTATCGTGTGCGATCCCGTGTAAACATTAATTTCTTCTGATCGTTCTATAGCGACGAAACGATTATTTTTGGCCTTTCATTTGTGTACATCTTCTGCGCAGAAGTATACCTAACCGAACGATTTTTCGTTCTCTTTTCCGTTCCTTTTATTCTCTCTTCCTCTCTCTCTCTCTCTCTCTCTCTCTCTCTCTCTCTTTCTCTCTTTCTCTCTCTCTCTCTTTTTCTCTCTTTCTCTCTCTTTATCGCTCTTTGTCGCTCTTTGTCGGTCTTTTGTATCAGTTATCACTTTCGTAAAGAAACTATTAGAAAATGTATACCATTGTGTAAATAATCAATCAACACTATCATTTTGTGGTTACAATCAGCTGTCTCATAATAATTTACCGACCTACATTTTGGCGAAACTTAGAAATCGTGAAAGATTAGAACAACGTGTATGCTTTCTCGAACTTTTCATTCGTTCATGTGACGTACTATTCTAAACAGATATAATCTTGACAGATCATATAGATTACTAATACTTTTGTATATATATATACATATATGTATATATATATATACATACATATATATACATATATGTATATATATATATACATACATATATATACATATATATATATATATATGTTTATATTCGCGTCGAATTACAAAATGTTGTGAGATGTTAAAATTAGATATGAATAGTGCATTTCAACGATTTGTACATTTCATTGCTCTGAATATTCGGATATATTGTATATCTGTCTCTTTTTATTTTTCAAAAAAAAAAAAAAAGGAATTAGTCCATCATTTTACTTTTCCCTTTTTCCTTTTTTTTAATTTTTAATTATATTCGATTATAATTCTTATCATCGATCTTACATATTATATAGATTGTATCTTTCATTGTTTTTATAGTTTTGTTAATTATTATTATTATTATATATATATATATTTTTTTTTTATATATATATTAAATTCGTATATTTATTAAATATATAACTAAGTGTCACTTTTTATTGTTTAGAAAAAATAAGTCAATCGTTATTGAATTTTTGTTTGTAAATACGTTTCATCTTAAACTTAATTATTTGTTCGTTATGTAACTCGTATCTTTTAACTTTTATTTATTTATTTTTTAATTATCTTATTTCTTATAACATCCTAATATTTAAATTCTTTCTTTTTCATTTATTAACATTTCATTCATTCGTTCTTTCACATATTAATATTACCAATACTAACTCCTATCTTGCACGTATGCTTTATCTCTCTATCTCTCTTTAAGACTCATCTCGACGTGTACGTTATTGTCTTCCTTCTAATAACGATTAGTCACGTATTCATTGTGAAATTTAAATATTTCATGACATTTTCAAGCCTTGTCGAATGTTCTTGATAAAAAAGAAATTTATGTGAGAAATTAAAGAGATATTGAAAAAAGAAAAAATAATCAAAAAAGAATAAAAAAAAGAAAAAGAAACGGAAGAAGAAGAAGAAGAAGAAGAAGAAGAAGAAGAAAAGAAAAAGAAAAAGAATACTGACAAATAAATAATTAAACTAACAAATAAATAAATAAAAACTAACCGGTTTTTGGAAAGCGGCCGTAGATATAAATAGAAGTACCTCGTGCGTGCATGCGTGCGTGCTATGATGCTTTTAAACATAGTTTTGGCAGCGAGAAACGTCAAACCGCTTCAGAGTCTTGAAGCGTGTGGATCGCGAATTTTGTCGAGAATTCGAGAAAAAGAAAAAGCAAGAAAAAGAGAACTAGAGAAAGAAAAAGAGAGAAAGAGAGAGAGAGAGAGAGAGAGAGAGAGAGAGAGAGAGAGAAAACAAAATTCAAATTTGTCTCTTACAAAGAAACATTTTTTTTTTTTTAAGCAAAATTTTCATATCGATAAATTCGAAACGATTTCAACGATCATAATTTTCTTCCTTCCTTTATCTCAGTCTTTATCATCATCATCGAAAACACAAAGGCGATCTTGGTGAGAAGAAAAAAAAAGAAGAAAATAAAAGAAAAGAGAGAGAAATAGAGAAAAAGAGAGAGAGAGAGAGAGAGGGAGAGAGAGAAAGAGAGAGAAAAAGAGAAAGAACAGAAGAGATGAAAAGTGCATTGGAAAAGTGCGACAAGGAGAACCAGCGACCGATGGAAGTGGTTGCACTCGAGGAGAATGCGGAGGACATCGAAGAGGAAGAGTAAAAATCAAAAGCAACACAGAAACAACCTATTCGTGTATCGTGCGTGTGTGTGTCCGTCCTTCCTTAGTGTGTGTATGCGTGAGCATATATGTATATGTTTGCCATGAGTCTGTTAAATATCTCTCTTCCTTTCTCTTTCTCTCTCTCTCTCTCTCTTTCTCATTCTTTTTGTCTAATATATTACTTACTATTTGCAGTCATCACAGTTTTTCTTTTGCATTCATCGCTTTATCAGCTTATCAGTTAAACGAAATTAGCATCGTCATTTTATTCCTTAGGATTTCTTTTAGTATATATACATATATTAAGATTTAACTTATTAACTAGATTCCCTTGAATTTCAAACTTAAATATTAAATATACAATGTTTACGACTGTTCATGCGTGCTTATATATATATATATATATATATATATATGTGTGTGTGTGTGTGTGTGTTTGTATGTGTGTGTGAACATGCCCGCGTATATATGTATGTATATATTAGATACTCAGTTTGTTTTAGTATCTACTTGCTTAATTATTAATTACATCAACTTCTAGTACTTGTTAGCTTCCCGTTAAACTTTGAAAGTTATTTTCAAACGTTCCTAGCTCGTTACGGTCTTTGCGTTAATTAACCTTGAAAGTTCCCTTTCCTATGCATGATTTTCCATTTTTGTGACATTGACTAACTGTGGCCAGCTGATAGCAAAATCTAATTAATGAGATTTTTCGTTTGAATTGGATCAGAGCCATAATAAAGAGACTCATTGATATCTTTTAGAGATATTCATATTTTTTTAATTACGATGAAAGAAAAAATAGTTTTTTCCTTTTATTTCATTTCTTTCATCATTATTGTTTTTCTTTTTTTCTTATTTTTTTTTCTTCTTTGTTTACTTCTCTCTTTTTTGTAATCGAAAAATTAACATTTAGTTCGAAAATTTATATTAAATGGATTTAGATTTGACATTTTTTTATTTCTTTCGGCTAAAGTCTCTCGATACAGATTTGTAATATAATTTCATGATGTTGTTTTATTCGAAATTATATAAAAAAAAAAAAAAAAAAAAAAGAAACAAAATTGTTGTTCTTCTTCTCAGCAATATCTTCTATCAATATTTCTCGTTACAATGACAATCAATTCGTCTTTTCGTAATTTCATAGCAACATTTATCTAAGATCGAAAGATTGATTTATTTTTTCAATCGAAAATATTAAATCTATTATATTCTGCAATTAAAAATTAATGAATAATATTATTCACTTTTTTAAGAATAATCATTATCAATTTGTACAATTTAATAAAATTATTATTATTATTATTATTATTATTATTATTATTATTATTTTTGTCGGCAAATTCGTTTACAATTGAAAGATAATTACTTTCGTTTAAATCACAATCGTTTTGCACGCCATGCTGTGTTAAGCTATTAACGAGCTCATTTAAGTTACCATCACTTTTACCAGAACGATGTAATTTTAACTGTTTGCTTTGCGGTTTAAGTGCGATGTCGCCGAGTAATAGATGCGTGGACGATGCTATAAACGACGTTATCCTGGAGAAGCTACGAAGTTTCGCGCCAAAACCACAAGAAGGTGGGGAAACATTCAGAAGTATTATAGCTAAGATACACGCACGAGTCACGTCTTCAGGTAATCATTTATTTTTTATAAAAAAAGAAATATATATATATATATATATAATTATCTATTTATTTCTATTAATTTTAATTCTCTATAATTTAATTTTTCTTTTACCTGTTTAAATAGAAACATTTATTTAATGTAATGCTTATAATGTAATTTATAAATGATAAAGTCATATGACTTTAAAGGTACATATTTATAATACTTTTATTTATTTATTTTTTTTTTAAGTTTCATTTTATTTTATCTCGTCATCAAATTAATTTAATTCATGTTCGAAGTTTTTATAATGTTTTATTATATTGATATAGTATAATTATAGTGTATATTATCTATGCAATTTTATTATATTAATACTAAAAAAAGAAGGAAAGAAAGAAAGAGAGAGAGAGAGAGAGAGAGAGAGAGAGAGAGAGAGAGAGAGTTTATCAAATAATACTATATTGATATATTAACTTGAGATATTTTTGGGCAATTAATTTTTTCAATTAATAAAATTTCATATCATATATAATTGTTGCGTAGATACATGACAAAAAATTGAGTTATAATTGGTTAAATAAATCGAGAAAGTAAAAATTTATCTACAAATCTTATATTTTTTACCACTTATCTACTTATCTACAAATGAATTTTCTAATATATCGTTCTTTTTATTTTCAATGAAAATTTTACCCTTAATACTTTACCCTTATCTAAAATCTCAGGAACAGACAGGGGGAAACTACTAAGGTTTATTTTAAGAACGATATCACGTTAATTGATCTACGAGAAAAGATCAAAGTACTAGTACGTTAGATCGATTCAGATATTAAAACGAAATAGAAATTCGAGTAATAGATATGTTAAGATTGGAATTTTGGCTTTAAAACAAATTTTATCGTATGCTTACTATATTTCTTTTGTACAATGGAAACATTATATTTCCTAGTGTTTTTCAGATCTTTAAATCACTTAGTCAAGATATAAAATAATAAATTTTAATTGTTATCAACATTACTCTTGAATACGTGTATACTTAAGTACAAAATTAAATTGTACATAGCAACTTATAACACACAAAATTGTGAAATGAAAATTCAGGTCATTTAAGAGATATATAACTTGGACTTTATGCGCTCGTTCAAGTTCTTCTTCTGAAACCTACTTCTAGAGATAACCCGATTTATATAGAATTAGATTGTGACTACGTAAACGTTATTTTTCGAACGACGTCAAACTTTTTTGAAAATTTCGATACAATCTATGAAAAAAAAAAAAAAAAAAAAAAATAAATAAATAAAAAGATAAAAAAAAAATAGATAAAAACTTTCGACTACATGTGTCTCTCATTTCTCATCGTAATTGATTCGAATCGATGTTTTTTCTTTTTCTTTCTTTTTTTTTTTGCGAAAAGAAAAGAAAAAGAAGAAGAAGAAAAAAGAGAAATAATATTAATAATAATAATAAAAACGAGCATCTCTAAATTTCACATCAAGTCATGTTCAGTTTGACTATGATATTTCTCGAACAGATGTGTAAACTGACTTATGAGATATTAACATCTGGATGTGAATGATCTCGTTATTTCTGAGAATTCGTATTAAAGATTAATAAAAAACAATATTACATAAGAACTTTCGTCAGATGGTCTGATATATTATTAGTTGGCTGTTATCCAACTAACGAATGATATCCGGACAATACATACTGGAATGATAGAATCGATAGTTATTGAAATTGGGCCAATGTGATATGAACATTTTATCTTATTCCGTACCTAATTGAACTCCATTCAACTAGAAAAATGTCGATGCACTCGAATGAGTTACATCGATTTCGTTTCTAAATTGTTCTAATTGTTTCTAAATTGTTCTCTAATTCATATTGTCATTCTCAAATCATATGTGTATATATATATATATATTTTATTATTACAAGAGTTTACATTTTCTCTAGTGAGAAGTGCTTTAGAGTTGGCAAATAAATTAACTTAAACCGAATAGAAAGGTCTTGTTAGAAATATATCAAATAACAGATTAAATCATTGTTGACATTGGAACGGCAAATAACTTTCGAATGATAAATTGAACCTATGGGTTACATATATTTTTTCACGTAGTTGCGCTCATGGCATTGATCCGAATTGGCTTGGTGTCAATTCTGAAAGTTGGATTACACCATTTTAACCATGAACACATAAACAGTATGTTCAGTATCTCATCATAGTTGTAGCATCTTTCTTCACAGCTGTTCATTTGGTTATTCATATTTCTTTGCCAAGAAAATGTATGTTTGCTTTGTTGCAAAAAAAAAAATATATATATATATATATATATATATTTTTTTTATTTACAATTATTTTTACTAATTTCATAAATTTTATTTATTGTTCTATTTAATATTCAATTGAACAGTGTTATATATACATACATACATATGTACTGTCAGTAAAACTTTTTACTTTATTTTTTAGACCGACGAGTTCGCGAACGTACTTTGGAGAAGTTATGGTGTAAGAATTCTAGTGCTATGGAGATTTTTATTACCATTCTTGAGGTAAACTTTATCGAGATAAAGTTTCGACTTTATAAATATTATATGACAGAGTTCCATGGATAAAGATACTTTTTCTTTTTATATATATATATATAAACTTATAACTTTTAACAAATACATAAACTTATAATTTTTGTACTTTGCATACAACATGGTTTCAATTTATAGTAAAGCATACATCGGTGATCTTTAATAATAATATTACATACATTATTTATTTATTTCATTTTTTTTTTCATCTGCAGAATAAATTATGAAAATATTATTTAATTTTATATAATTTATTTCTCTGACAATAAATCCTATTTTATCTGTCAGTTTTGATATGATACGATATGATAATTATAATATGAATTTTATAATATACATACATACATACATACATATTTTAAAGGATTTATTTTTAGTATATGATCAAATGAAAAAAAAAACGATCAAATGAATCGAAACGTGTTCGTTGGTTAATACTTCCACACCATCTAGACTTGATTAAGCGTTTCTGATAACTATGAAAGTATTCGAGTTTCGTACACGAAATAGTAGCGTGACAAAGTCGCATTAACGAGTTATGCACTCTTGTGTCAATCTATCTCGGAAAGGATTACTAAACTAGAAACCCGTTCGTTTTTATTTCTAATGAGTGTTGCACGAACGAACTATGAGTTTTAATTGCGTGACGATCGAAATCTTTTTCGTTATTTAAAATCAAGTCAGGTTTTAAATCAAATCGAGTTATTTCAAAATAAAAAGGAAAGATGATATAAAAATCGTGATCGTCGAATAATTTTACGAATAAAAATAATTTTATTAATAAAATTATAACGGTAATAATAAAAAAAAAAAAAAAACAAAAAGCGATTTTTGTATGCAACGAATTTTACAAATAACAACAATAATAATAATAATACCAATATTTCGTTTTTCAATTTCGTTTTTCGTATTGACAAATAAAATATTAAAATGAATAATTCTTTTTTCTTTCTTTTTTTTTCTTTTTTTACAGAATTCCAAGGATTACGTGTTGAATTGTAGTATAGCTGGTATATTACACGAATGTATATCACCAAAAATGACAAAGGGCAAATCGAAAGGAAACAAGAGCAAAAATGCAACAAGTAATATTAACTTATAAATTAATCGTTATCATTGATCTATGTAGTAAATAATCTTTATATGATCGCATCTAATCTACATATATCTACGTTATAATACTTATCTTTTAATAACTTTGTCGAATAGAAATGTTTAAATAAGTAAGTTTGAGATAAGAATGAACTCTTTATCATTTGCTTTTTTTCTTTTTCTTTTTTTTTTTTTTTTTTTTTTTTTTTAATTAGGAAACAGTAACCGAATGGCGGTCATTCAACTGATCAATTTCGGGATCACGCAAGTCCTAGTTAAACTTTTAATGAATTTGCAGCATATGGATAGTATTTCCTCGGAAGTCCTTGTACAAGAAGTTCTTTGGATTTTGGGACAGGTAAATGTGTATATAATAATAATAACAATAATAATAATAATAATAATAATAATAATAATAATAATAATAATAATAATAATAATAATAATAATAATAAAAAATAATAAATTATAAACAACAGATATGGAAATGATATATAAAATTTATTTATAAATTTTTTTGTAGGTTTGCCAAAGGGATCAGAAATTTGTAACGAAATTGAAAAATTCAAATTATGTCAAAATATTTCATACGCTCCTTCAACAACATTACAACAACGGTAAAACAATTCTTCCTTTGTTGCTGATAATCAAAGTTTTTGCTAAAAATTGTAAGTATCGTTATAAGTTTAATATTACGATATCGATCATATAGATTGAATCATTTATTAGCTGAATAAATATATATATATATATATATATATATATATATATATACATATATTTTTTTTTTCATAGCATTTTCTCAACAAGTTCTTATCAAAGATGGGATTGCCAATACATTAGAAAAGACCTTCGTTTGCATTGGTCATGTACCTCATATTAAATTAAAAGCGTTGGTCGAATGTTTGAAATATTTCACAATGAGCAGTAAGTATGTTATTCTATTATTTTATTAGTATCAATGATATTATTGATATGAAATATTACAACAAAATATTTATTATTATCATTATCATCATCATCATCAACTATTATTAATAATAGTTATTAACATTCATCAATAATTAATTAATAATATTTATTATTATATTATTTTATATATAATAATAAATTATTATTATAAATTATTACTATTATTATTATATAATTCGTATATTAACGTATTTATTAACAATTAGTTTCTTTTTGTTTTTATTATACGATTAATAATAATTCTCCGTCTGTTCCCTTTATCTTTTTCCTTTTTCTTTGTTTTCTTTTCTCAGAATTATGCTGCACAAAATTTGTAAAGGCCGGAATGGTTCAACAACTGATGCGAACTTTCGAGAGATGGGAGAGATTCGACGGGCAATTGAGACTGAAGATATCCAACTACGTTCTGAACACGCTACAGCATCTTTGCGTAATAAGTAAAGTTCCTTTTACGAAAGCAAACCGCGTAGTATCCAGAAAAATTCTAAGAGAAGCAAAAAAAGGCTGACAGGTGCTTATAACGAGTTACATCGACCGTGTCCGGTTAAACGTTTGATCTGACAATCAGTAAACGTTCCATACGAATTAATTATAAGTCATTTCACAATTTCCTTTTAACACAACGACGCGTTTATATTCCATTTTTTGAAATTCTTTGGATTTTGTATTTCGCACTTTACGGAGCTCGAAGTATCAAGGGATATTTGAAAAATGCCAAAAAGAAAGGAAAAGAGAGAAAAAAAAATAAACAAAAAAAAAAAAAGAAAAAAATAAAGGAAAAAGAAAAATCGTACTTCTTAAGATAATTTTTGAACGTAATGTAGTCGAGTGGTTTAACATTTATGAATAGTGTAAAGAAAAAGATTTCTCAGTTAAGTGCATGTCTCGAAGATGTATTTTCCTTCCTCTTGAAGAAAGCCTCTTCGGATAACTCGGAATCGTTTAAAAGATATTTCTTCTTCCCACTTTCAGAGTCTGGAAGGAAGGCTATTAAGTCTAACAATGGTCTACAGCTACTGTACCGGTTTTGTACAAACTGCCCGGAGGAAAAAGCCTACGATTGTTTATTGTCACGTATATGTGGTATAATCAATCAATGTCTGGAAAAGAAGGAGTTGCCTGTACCCGAAATGTCTCCTGCAAGGTGAACGATACTTTCAAGGTTTCCTAGATTTGATCTGTCCATTTTTAATTTACATACATATATAAGAACATTTATTATTGTTTATATTTTAAAATATGACAATTATTACGACAATTTTATTCATACATTCATTCATTCATTCATTCATTCATTCACTCACTCACTCACTCATTCATTCATTCATTCATTCATTCATTTATTTATTTATTTATTTATTTATTCATTTATTTATTCATTTATTTATTTATTTATTTATTTATTTATTTATTTATGTATTAATTTATTTACTTATTTACGTATTTTTATTCAGATTTGTCTTGCCGGAAGCAAATGCCAGGGCTAACAGCATTGAAAGTGGCAGCGACCTTGACAGTCAAGTACGTGTCGCAGTTTAGTTAGTCATATAAAATTGTGGAGAAGAGTTTGTCCAGGTTCTTTAATTTGAATATTTCTTTTAAGGCTAACAGCGTGGCCTCGCTTGGAAGATTATACAGTGATTTCGATTCAGGAGATGACGAAGATAGTCATAGTTCGAGGAGAACAAGTGATAAGAATTTGTATCCCAGCGAGGAAATAGACGAGAGTAAATTTTTTGCCGGAGTTTTCACGTCTCAAAGAAACGAAGAGGATTTGATTGGGTAAATTTCATTGGTTTCATCATTGAATATCATTTTTCTTTTTTTCTTCTATCTCTCTCTTTATCTCTCCTTTTTTTTCTTTTTTTTTTTTTTTTTTTTTTTTTATAATTTTCACAAGATCTCAATATTTATCCAACATTATGAATTTTCATTTTAGGTATAATGTTTTCTTTAAAGAGCTAGGCAATCTTCAGTTACAACTCAGTCTTGCTAAATCGTCATCAGAAAAGTTTATAGATTCGACGAATTCAACGTTCGACGACGATAAAACGTTCTCACGTTATACAAAAATATCCAAATCGAAAAGTTTCCCAAAAGATACCCATACCAATGGATCATTAAGACATCAAATTAAATCGGATAATACAAAATCTGATTTGAAAACATTGAAAGATATTTCATCGACTACCACTGATAGGCATGCTTATTGTTTGATAGCGAGCAAAGTGAAAAGTGTTATCAGTTTTGTCAAAGTTGCTTATCCCGATCTGGTTGGTGGTGATTCATTAGGAAAACCAGAACCATTGAACAGCAAGGATAGAAAAGTTTGTCGTGCTAAATTGTTAACCTGCGTGGAAAGGGGACTACATGCTGGTACAACAATTCAAGAGATTGTTTATGATCTCGACAATGTAACGACGTCTTCGTCGTCGAATGATAGAATTACGGAAAACAAGTTACTTTGTAATTGGGACGAAAAGAGAATAGGAAAAAGGAACTTGGAAACTAAGCATTTGCAATTTGAGTCTCGTTTTGAAAGTGGAAATCTTAGGAAAGCTATTAAGGTACAATCAGAATGTTTGTTTAAACTGTGTTAACGCGTTCACTAATAATTGAACTGTAAATGATCATTGTTAACATGTATCATCGAATCACCTATAGTCATTCATTAACAAATCAATAGAGATATTTAATTGAAGTAGTATCATTATTCATTAGTTAATTAAAATAATCTTCATTAAATATTCCGTTTAAATCAATAAGTTGATCATTATTAAAAAGATTAATTTTTTAATTGTAATAATCGTTAATTAAAATGATCATCATTAATGTTTTATTTAAATTAATCAAGATATCATTGTTAATACATTGATTTCTTTTGTTCATTTACGAAATTGTATATTGAGAAGTGAACGTGCTAATTTATCCCAAATATTGACTTAGACAAGATATATTTGTTTTGTTGTATATCATTTTCATCCATATATCGTTTCATATCGTTTCTCTGTATTTTTTTTTTGTCTTTTCTTGCAGATAGGCTTGAGAGAATACGATTTGATCTTAACGCCAGACGTTAACAGTGCCTCTAGACATCAATGGTTTTACTTCGAGGTTTCAAATATGGAAGCAAACGTTTCTTACACGTTTAATATCGTCAATTGTGAGAAGGCAAATTCTCAATTTAATTTTGGCATGAAGCCTATATTATTTAGCGTAACCGAGGCACAATTGGGTCGACCATATTGGGTCAGAACTGGAACAGATATTTGTTATTATAGAAATTGTTATCAGAGACCAACAAAAGGGAAGAACTATTTAACGACATCGTTCACTGTCACTTTTACCCATGCTTATGACGTTTGTTATCTGGCTTATCATTTCCCTTATACTTATAGCCAATTGATGACAAATATTTGGAAATGGACCAAAAAGCTTTCATCCTCTAACATTTATTTTCGTGCCGAGTCACTTTGCGAGTCATTAAATAACAATGAAAATCCAGTATTGACTATAACATCGCCAGACTCGAAGAGCAATCCTACACAAGTGAGTTATATATCTTTTATATATTTTATTACAATTAAATATTTTTATCCTGAAACTTTAAGTTATTATCTTTTTTGATAATATTATATTTAGAATAGAAAAGTTATCTTCCTGACGTCCAGAGTCCATCCAGGTGAGAGCAACGCTTCCTGGGTAATGCATGGAACATTGGAGAGCCTTATAAGCAATTCAACTTATGCTACTAGTTTACGTGACGATTATGTCTTCAAAATAGTACCGATGTTGAACTTAGAAGGTGTGGTCAATGGCTGGTAAGTAATAAGACATGAATAATAATAATAATAGAATTATAATACCATCGATATTTATTACAGAAGTTGAGCGTTTATCACGCTGTTGTACGATAGTATTGTATAAAATTATTGTGAGTGCGTGACTTATCGTTTAGCAGCTTAGTGAAAAAGATTTTCAAAAAATAATGAATGAAGAAGTATAGGTGGAAGAGAGGGAGGGAGGGAGGGAGGGAGGGAGGGAGGGAGGGAGGGAGGGAGCTAGATCGTTTAAGGGCTAGATCGTCGTACGTCCAGATAACGGAAGAGTTAATCCCAGTTATCAAAGAAAATTAAAAGGTTTTCTTTGTTCATTTGGGGTTCCATTGAACTCCTCGTTTTGTGGACGTAAAGCGAACGTTTAAATTTAATTCTAAGGGATGATTAATCTTGATGAATAAAACGTGACGTCAGCGGACTCTACCAGTTGCCCACACCGGTGAATAAATGATAACGTGCGAATATTGATCTCCTTTTTATCTAAGATCATTCATACGCATGTATATTATGTGATTGAAATGATGTTATATGATGATGCCCGTTGCCGTCACGAATATCATGCATTAAAATTAACGCTACGATGAGAGTACGTACTGACATCGATACGTTCTGGCATCGTCGGTTGGAGGAAAAATTTACTAATAATAATGAAGAAGAAAAGATAATAATTTCATTATTAAAATATTCTATCGCATGAACAATATATAAATTTATATTGAAATTTAACAGAGATTAATTGATGATCTTTGTAATAATGGCTTGATAAAAATATTCTTAAAGAATTTTGCTAAGATTTTGTTTTTTTTGTTTTTTTTTTTTTTCATTCGAAGAGAGAGTGATACGTGAAAAAGAAGAAAAGTAAAAAAGAAGAAGAAAAAAAAAACGATATAAAATCGAGTATGTCCATGCTAAAGACATTTCTATTTTCCTCCAACCAAGGACATCCAGTATATAGTACGTCCATTCTCACGCCTGTAATATTCATCTTAGAATGTTAACCAATACGAAATATGAGCATGATGTCTCGTACTATCGATGTACCCACACGATGATGATTATGGTGATTCACGAGTGTCTCATTTTCTTTTTTCTCTGTGTTTTCCTTTTCTTTTTTCTTATTATTACTATTATTATTATTATTATTATTATTATTATTATTATTATTATTACTATTATCATTATCATTATCATTAATATTAATATTAATATTATTATTATTATTATTATTATTATTATTATTATTATTATTATTATTATTATTATTATTATTATTATTATTATTATTCTTTTTCGATAAACGCGACGATGAACGTGTGTTAAAAAATAGAATTACAGATAACGTTCGAAGAAAACGCGAAGAAGTTAGGTTCCTACGACGTTGGAAAAAATTGCTTGCGATTTTCGTTAAATCTATAATAATGGATTCGTGTTTGATCAGAAATAAGATAGAAATAAGATACGTTGATAGTGTCAAAGTGTTCTTGGACTAGAAGAACTTGTTTTAATGATCGCTAGCAATCTCCTTTTCGTGAGACATTTCGTGTATCCTTTATCTTCATCGTCGATCTTCTTCTTTATCATTTAATCTTTATCTTCTTTATCTTCTTCTTCTTCTTCTTCTTATTCTTATTCTTCTTAGTAGACGAATGAACGCGTTTAACGAAGGCGTCGATGCCTAAAGAGTAAAGCGTTACTTGGACGGAGGGTCTAATACTTTGCCGTTGGTGCGCACTTTGATGTTGTACCTATAGGCCGGTTCCGCCTCTGGCAGGATCGTACTACTATCATCATCCTGATCCTTCATCATTGCTGATTCACCGATGTCCTGTTGATCGTTAACGTAGTCTTGAACAGTGTCATAAGGACCAATGGTATGTGCATCCTCGAGACCATTATTTGGCGGTTCAGTTTCAGCTTGGACATCGGTATGTATATCAGCTGGTGCATCCGAGAGAACGTCATAATCGAGAGAATCCCTGTGTTCCATCTTCATATCCGAGGTTGATGGTCTAGATGCCGTACGAAGGACTTCACGAGTCTCAAGACCGTCGAATACACTCGCAGAATTCTCTTTTCTAGCTTGATGACGTATTACTTGACCATCATCGTTGCCAGCTGTGAAGAGACTCGTGATGTCCGGAATATCGTCTGGTCTAGTATTCTCAAGGACAAATGCATCAGTTTGTCTACGACGTTCGATGTTCCCTAAGCTCGATGTCGTTGATTCTTCATGTTGATCATCTTTATCATCTAACTTGCCAGACACGGAAGCGGCTGTTGTTATCAGCCTGCTAACGACCGGGTCTTCGGGTACGTTTTCATTCGCTGATTCTTCATTTTCCTCGTTCGACGATGACGTTGTCTTATCTTCGATAACTTCATCATGTTTTTTCTCATCCTTATTTTCCTCCTCCACGTGCTCGTCGATCTGGTCGTCGCTGGCCGGCGCCGAGGTGGTCGTTATGTAGGGTCTTCGATTTCTGGAAAAAATCAAATTCTGCTCGCCATCAATTTATATCACATTTTTATTTTTATCATTCCTTTCAAATTTATTTATTTATAATCGTCGAAAGACAACGTTGCCAAAGACGAAGGAATCTTTGGATCATTGTTTGAAAAAAATATTTTATTCTCATCTACGAGCAACGTCTACTCTCAAATGATTATTATTATTCATTATCATCGTATTAGTTATGTTAGTTAGCCTCAATGTATTAAATAGAAGCTTCTAAACGCAAAGAGCGAAAGTCTTGATCCATTTAAATAAGTTTCCAATTTTCATTTGTCGGATTAGACTCATCAATGGATCGAAACTTCTTCGTTATCATGTGTGTGTGTGTGTGTGTGTGCGTGTGTGTATATATGTGTATATGTATATACGTATATGTGTTTATCGTGTCATTTGTATGCCTTTGTCGAGTATTTGAAGCGAGAAGCGAGAGAATGTGTTTGCGTTATTACGAAAAGCACTTACTAAATATCGGACTTCGGGATTTTTCTTTTTCTTTCTCTTTTATTTTTATTTTTTTTCTTTTTTTTTCCAGAAACAAGCTTTAGAACCAAGGTCAATATTTCTGAGAGATCTTAGTAGAAAAACAAAACAAAAAAAAAAAAAAAGAAGCGTGTACGTTCGCATGAAATTATTGAAAATTATATCAGCTGGATACTTTATTCTTTTACCCCGGAGGATCCCAGATTACCAGCAACCTTTTGATTATCAGCTAACTACTGTAATAATAATAAGAATAAGCTTTTAGAACGTTTTATAATTTGTAAGGAAAAGAAAAAAAAAAAAAAAAAAAAAAATAACCGTGATAACCGATAAAAACGTTGCAATTCGATCCTATATGAAAATATAAAAGATCTTATGCGTTCATGGGGGTTTAATCTGCATATTTTATCGGTTCTCTTTATACAGTTTATATCCGTATAGCCAACAGGATTCACCTTAAAGATCCACGTCTTTAGATTTTTTTCTTCCTTATCTTTTTTTCTCTCTTTCTTTTTCTTTCTCTTCCTCTCTCTCTCTCTCTCTCCCTCGGCAATTTCGTGTATTTTTTTGTGACAAGTATTATCTCACCTCTTACCCCTGAGTCGCGGAGACTGGAATGCTGCCGTAGTTATAGTAGTAGCATCTTGTTTGCTCGCAGATAAAGTCCTTAACGAGGGTACAATCCTGAGCCTCCCATGCTAACGTTGGTGCTATCATCGCGACGCAACCGTCTGCACTGCCACTGTCGCCACTTGAAAATGGAATAAATTACTGATAAGAATACTTTTGATATCTCATTTGTAATTTTCAATCAAATTTATTTAAGACAGATATTTCCTGTATTTTCTTTTTTTGCTTTTTTTTATTTCTTACTCTTTCTTTTTTTTTTTCTTTTTTTCTTTTTTGCAACTGATCGACAGTTTCGAGATAATCCTCCCTTCGTTTGATATATAATAACAAAACGCAGGATTCTCTCGAAGCTTTCTTATTGGTCATTAAAAAATAAACAAAAAAAAAAAAAAAAAAAGAAAAGTAAAAAAAAATGATAAAATCAATAAAATTTTGCAAATTTTTCGAATAAAAAGACTTCGTCGTATATTTTACTTTGCCTTAGCACAATTTCTAATTATTTCAACGAAGAAAAAGGATTACTTAATAATTTATCTTTTTTCTTTCCTTTCTTCTTCTTTTTTCTCTTTTTGTTTTCCTTTTTTTTTTGTTTTTGTTTTTTGTTTTTTTTTTTCTTTTCTTTTTTACCTTTCACGCGCAACTCTCTGAGGTTCGGTGCCAGGTGGAACATCAGCAGGTCTGTTTCCAGGTCTCTTTAGCATATAATCGAATGTCGTGTTGAAGGGTAGTCCTGTACTCATCCATAGGAACATATCCGTGCCGAGTTTATTACCAGACGTCCAAAAATCATATTTTGTGTAACCGGCATTTTTAAGATATTGTGTCATAGTATCTGATTTTTCCTTCGTTTCGAAGGACGCCAGTTGAAGACCCAGAGAACGACAATATTGATACGCTAGGAAGTAGTTCAGTTCTGGACTATACGGATTCATTCTTGATACAAAATATTGGACGCCATCGAGCTGAATTGTCGTGATCCTCTGACCTGTAAATTTTTACCAAATTTTAAAAGAAATTCAATATAAAATTTAACGAATTAATTGTGGAATACTTTTATGCATAGTTCTTCACAAAGGCAATGTGTGTTTAATCATCATTGAATTAAATCAAGCGTGTAATTGACACTTATGAATGACACATTTTGTGACATGATAACTTTAATCGTCTGGATTAATATATTAAGGTTGCGACTGTCACACAAAATGTGTCCAATTTTATCATCATATACAATAACTCTCCAATTAATAATAATAATAATTATAATAATAATAATAATGTAATTATTAAAATAATTACATTTAATATTGATCGGTATAACTAAACAACAAATTATTCAAGATGATATACATCAAGTATAAAAACATAGTAATAATAATAATAATAATAATAATAATAATAATAATAATAATAATAATAATAATAATAATAATAATAATAATAATAATAACAATAATAATAATATCGAATAAATAAATGGTTTTGTCATAATAAAATAATAAATAATTAACGGATATGATAATTCGTTGTAGCAAATATTATGAAAGATCGTAATTTTGTGAAAATAAAATTATCCTCGATTATGAAATCGTCAAAAACCGGTAAAGGATCGACTTATGGAAACTTTTGAATCCTTCGTATTATCTCATCGAAGCACGTTTCCTTCGTGGACTTCCGACAGAACCGCAAATGGCATCTTCAGATGGAGAAACACCATCTGTTGAATTCTAATCTACCCGGTGTCCCATTTTAGCGTGTCGATAAACGATTCTCTTCATAGCAAACCGTTACATTCAAGAATGAACATTCATTCGAATGCAACTTGTACACACAACGTGTCGATTATTCTTTACTTTTATTGGCCGATCGGTTCTTTGAACTTTCAACTTTTAATTAATCGTTCGAACACTCGATAGTCTCTTTCTAGAATGTTACAGTTTATTTAACAAAAAACACAAAAAATATTTATTTTCCAATGGATTGTGATAATGAAACGAATGTTGAAAATTTAATAATATTTTCTTCATTTCAATACTCAAACAACAAAATGTTCAAATAAATATATGAAGTTTTTTAAAAAATTAAACGGAGAAGGATCAAGTTCCGATAATCTTCTTTTATCTTATATCGATTTAAAAATGGAATATCTTTTCACGATTTAAAATAACGTTATATCTATTCGTAATATATTCCTTTGTCTACATGGTTATTACAACAAAGAACTTTAATTATCTTAAACACGGGCACTCTTTATCAGCACCAAGGGATTTAACTGAAACTACACGAGAAGAAAGAGAGAAAGAGAGAAAGAGTGAGAAAGAAAGAAAGAGAGAGAGAGAGAGAGAGAGAGAGAGAGAGAAAGAAAGAGAGAAAGAGTGTGATCTTTTGTGAATAGAATGATATTCACATAGACGTATTCGTTAGAGTTCATTGAACTTACACGATTATTTGGTTAACTGTACTTATGAATTATTAGTTGTATATAGGGTTCTAAACAGCTTCTAGATGAGAACACGTAACTTTATCTTTCTCTCTCTCTCTATCTATCTATCTCTTTCTTTCTATCTTCATCTATCTCTATCTATCCTTCTCTATCACACTTCTCTTCAATTTCTAATCTATCCAAATACGATCGATCTTCTAACTTCTTTCATTTCAAAAATATTTGAATATTTATGAAGGAGAAGATAAAGTCTTGCATATGTTAAAGCTTCAAGAACTCAAAAATATTCTTTGTAGAATTCTAAATATATTATATATATATATAGTTTCTAATAATAATCACATGACTCAAGATTAGCTTGGTAGCCGTTCGTAGGGTATGCGTAGAAATAAAAATTGTCGATGCATCGTGGAAAAACTGGCGACGCAGGTGATGGTAAACGACCGGAAGACCTTGAGACGTCTGCCGGCAGTGAAAAGCGAAGACTCGCGAGCGAGTTGGCTTGTGTCTCACTAAACTATACCCTTCATTCATCGAGTAAGTCACGCTCGTTGTACGACGCCGTGAGAATTTTTAATCCGACTAAACCGTGACGAGAGAGAGGTAGTATGTACCTTCGCTGAAAGTAAAAGACCCCGACAACGAGTGCCACAGCAAACGAATATATAGCGAAGAATGAACAAAAAAAAAAAAAAAAAAAAAAAAAAAGAAAAAAAAAAGAAACAAAGAAAAAAGAAAAAAGCAATCTCACGACGACAACGACGAAAGAAAAATGTTCGTTTGTATTAAAAACGATCTATTTTCTTTTCCCCTCCTTTCTTTCCTCCTTTTTTTCTTCCTCTTTTCAAAACAAAAATTCATTTCTCAAAAATATAAAGAAACATCCAAACAGATAGACAAGAAGAAAAATGCGAATAGTCGGGGCTTATCAGGAGATATAGAAATTAGGATATTGAAATAAGAAAAAAAAGAAAAGGAAAGAAAAGAAGAAAAATATATTTTTCATTTTTCCGATTGTTACGTACATCTACGTGACTTAGATCGTTCGATATCGATTGAGAAGATAGTGGTATTGAAAAGAAAAGAAAAAAGAAGAAAAAAAAAAGAGAAAAGGAAAGAAAAAAAAAACAAAAGAAATAGAAAAGAAAAAAGAAAAAGAAAAAAAAATAGTATTTACTAACCTGAAGCGAAGGCCACGATAACTAGAAGCAGCGTAGCGATCTTCATGTTGCCGTGCGACTAATCGTACGATCAAGCAGTCGTTTCCGTTTCCGACTGTCGGAATACACCGGATGTTAATGTTAGGGTCGCGTTCTCGGACTGGCCTCGCGCTGCGTCGGGGGCCCCCTTAAGAGTCTTCTGGCCGGATCCAAGAGGAGGGGGTCGTTGAAGATGATTCACTGGCAGCAGCCTAGAGGAGGACGGACGAAGGCACCAAGGGACGCTCAAACTATCGTTTGGAAAACGGGTGGGGAGAGTATAGAGCTTTATAGAGAGAGAGAGAGAGAGAGAGAGAGAGAGAGAGAGAAAGAGAAATTTTGCCGAGTGGAGAGGGACAACTCAGACGAAGAGAAGATGAAGATGACGTCGAAGGATCGATTCTTACCTTGCGTCGATGACGATCCCAATGTATGGTCTACCAAGTGAGAAACTAAAATGGATTGTTAAAAAATTCTATAGGACGAGTTAGTAAAAAAGAAAAAGAGAAAGAAAAAAAAAAGAAAAAGAAAGAAGAAGAAGAAGAAGAAGAAGAAGAAGAAGTTACCACAGTGTATATGTGTTACGTCTATGTGTATAAGGTTCATGGTACATAGAGTAGGTTCGTTGACTTTAAGAAAAAGAGTTGCCTTGGATCAAATGTGGTAGTAGCGTAAAATCGTTTCGATTCGCTTCGATCATCTTGAATTTATTTTGGAATGTTTTTTTTCTCCCCCCCCCCCCCTCTCCCCCGTCCCCTTTTCTTTTTAACATCGATCATTCCGATAAATTGGAATTCGTATAAGGTTTTCGTTTCTATTTACTTCTTTTTTTTTTTTTTTTTTAATCATAAATTTTTAATATAGCCGATTAAAATGTATTTTAAAGGTGAAAGGGGAAGGGGCGGGGAAAAAAATAGGAAAGAAAAAAGGAAAATAAATAGAGAGAGAAAAAGAAAAAGAAAGAAACAAAATCTCCGAGATCGATTAGTTATGATCTCATTGATCAAAAATCTTTTTAATATCACGTATTAATAGGAAATTTCTAAATATCAAATAAGATCGAAAGGATAATTCTTATGAAATAAATTTTCATTCCTGATGGAATGCCAGTTCTTCGCTGTTCTATCGGTGAGCCTATCGACACGGTAGGCCGCAAAAAGATTTCAGTCTCAAGGTAGGCTTCATTTCTGACCGCGTCTTCTCGCTCGAGATCACCTGCTGCTGTTGCTGTTGCTGATGGTACATATCGTCCAGTCCAGTTTTCTCTTCAGCACCAACTATCGTGTATACTTCGGTTACAATATAGAACCGGTACCTCGTACCCTAGAAAAGCTACGTATCTTCTTCTACACCTTCTTCTTCTTCTTCTGTTCTTTTTCTTCTTATTCTTATCTTAACTATCTTCTCTTTTGCTCATAGCCCATCGTCGGATCAATGATCATACACAGCGAGCTATTTCTGTTACGAGCTGTGTGCGGGCATCCCTAAAAAAAGATTCTCGCGTGACATTCGAGACCTACCGCACTAGGAAACTCCTTCTTTCGTCCCTACATGAAGAACATGAAAACTTATTAAAATAAAGAATTGATCCTGTAACGAGAAGACTCATGGTTTAGATATCTTAGGATTGATTTTTGGCTATTACTAATTTTTATCGAACGATCGTACGACTTTAACCAATGACGTTCATTATTAAAAATGATCGAATGTTGTTGTACATAAAAAAAGAAAAGAAGAAAAAAAAATTAAGAAAAATAAGAAACAAAACAAATTTTCTTAATTCTAATTTAAATCAAATATACGTCGTAATAAATATCTATTATTTGTTTGAATCTGATCATCGATGAGGTAACGCGTTAAATTTGTTTCCTTTTTTTTTTTTTCCTTTTCTTTTCTTTTATGATTCTAATAGCACAAACTAATCTTTTTTAAATAAGGAATCAATAAAACTTCCAATCAATTTGCCTAATCATTTTTACAAAAGTTACGTAAGAATATTGATTATTCAAATATCGTTCCGTTAGTTAAGAAATTAACATAACGCTAATTCATTCGATCATGGACAAGAGTTCATTAGCCTCGAAACATTCAACAACACTTTCCTGTTTAAACGTATGAGACTTGGAAAAGCAAACGAGTTAACGTAGGCATCGTCTTTTATCGCGATGCCATTCGGACAGTCGTGTACGTGGCGGCTCCTTGTCGCCTTTAAGTTCTCACGACCCTGCTGAATCACCGGTAGCAAGTATTTTTCTTGACTTTCAGCCTATCTCATCGTCTATTTTATTTTGTTTTTGTTTTTTTATTGTACTGATCTTGATTTATTATTCTGTCTCTCTCTCCCTCTCTCTCTCTCTCTCTCTCTTTCAAAGATTTAAAAACAGTTAATTTTAAAGAGAGAGAGAGAGAGAGAGAGAGGGGGGGGGCAAATTTATTGCATCAAATAAAAGAATATATAATAATGTATATTCTAAAATAAATATATTTAATTAATCAAAAATTACGTAATTCAGAGAAAGAAATTAATAAATCAATAAATTGAAAAAAAAGAAGAAAAATAACAATTTGACAAATGTCTCCTTTCAATATATATATATACAAAATAGATACATTATACGTATATGTATGTTATTGATATGTATATGAAGAATATACAGAAACGATAAAGACTTGCTAGACAATCCGATATATATATATATATACATATATATATATATATAAAATTTACATAAATATATCAAAGAAATGTGGTGTGTTGAAAGAGGAATTTATAGAAGGTCAACAAAATGGCGGAAGTTAGTGATGTCCCTCTTCAAAAGAGCGAAGACACACAAGGGTCCATGGTTAAATCATGGTTTTATCTTTACCTTGGCGTAGGTCAGTTTAACAGGTCACGCCTACCCACCGGCGTATTTCCCATGGGAATTCAACGAGTGTACTCGAATGCACTCGAATGCACTTAGAGAGAGCTCCGGCAAAGTGGCCAATGGGGGTCGAACTGTGTTCGTGGTCGAGCTGATGCTTTAGCCGGGAGCTGGATCCTGGATAAACAAGCACGAGTCTCTTCTTCTTCTACTTCGTTCTCTCTCTCTCTCTCTCTCTCTTTCTCTCTCATACTCTCTTTCTCTCTTTATCTCGGTCTCTTTCTCACAAGCAACTTCTCACAAACGAGCCTCGGAGGGTTTTCGCCTGTTTTTTGCCAAAATAAAAGCAACGAAGGGCTTTCGAGGCAACCAGCCGATGCGACGGCTAAGAAGGAGTAGAAGAAGAGATGGAGGAGGAGGAGGAGGAGGAGGAGGAGGCGGAGGAGGAGGAGGAGGAAGACGAGGAGGAGAAGAAGGAGGATGAGGAGAGGATGCTACAGGAGGATTCTCGCCGAGGTCTATTTCAGGCCCTGCCAGCGATCGCTATGTAAGGCCCTCTTCTCTCTCTTTCTCTCTCTCTCTCTCTCTCTCTCTTTTGCTTTCTTTCTCTTTTTCTCTCTCTCTCCCTCTTTCTCTTCTATATATCCTTTCTTTCTTTCTTTCTTTCTTTCTTTCTTTCTTCCTTCGTCTCCCATCATCCACCACCACCACCACCACCTCCTCCTCCTTCTCCTCCTCCTCCTCCTCCTCCTCTTCCTTCTCTCTCTTGCATACAGAGATCTTGGTTTTAGCGCGCGAACAACCTCGCTTCGAGAGACGATCGGTGGGACTCATAGGCCCCTGGAGGCTCTTCGTCGACTCTTCCATTTTGATACTACAATACTAGGACAGTGATCCTCATGTCGTACTTTCATATATTTTACAACGATATATCGTATAGTAATTAGTGTCAATGAGATAATTATATATTTTTATCGTTGGTTGAGATTCGTTTGGAATTTTTTTTTTTTTTTCTTTTTTTCTATCGAATTCGAGGGACCAAGTTTGTTGCTAGGCGTTACCCACGAAAGTTAATTATTTTTGTTCTGTGTTTCTTTTTCTTTTGTTCTGTCTTTTTTTTTTCTTCTTTTTCTTCTTCACGAGCCTCCCCTTTTCTTCCTTCTTTTTTGTCCTAAGTTATTCAGTTACGAGTATGCAAAAGTTAATCCAGAAGGACCCATCATATATTCTTCTTTTCGTATTTTTTTTATTTTCTTATTTTCTATCTTTATCTTTTCACTTTTGATCTATTCTTACATAGTTATAATTCACTTTGAATAGTTTAGCATCTTTTTTTTTGTTATTCCTTGTCTCAAAATGGACTTTGTTAAACGCAGTGATCTTCATCTGTGCTTCGAATCGATTTGATTTTGATCATGACAATTGGTCCAAAATTAAAAAATATTACATTTGGTTCTGAAAACAAGGTCTCACGTAAGATTTGATTTTTCTTTTCTTTCTTATTCAGAAGAATACTTAATTATTATTATTATTGTTGTTATTATTATTATTATTATTATTATTATTATTATTATTATTATTATTATTATTGTTGTTGTTGTTTTCTTATTTTTTTTTCTTATAATGAATATATTATATCGATTAATTCGATTAATATGAAATCAAGTTGAGAACTTAATGTATATATTTCTTTAGAACAGATCTCGTTGCTTATGTACTCACACCTTGCTGTGTTCGTTCTGTCCCATGGATATATATTTAGACAGTTTGTTTCCCGCGAGATTTAATGCGATTATACGACGCCGCCACGAAAGATCCGCGTCTTTCCTTCGGAGAAAGAGGAGTCGGAAATGTAAAAAGGAGAAGAAGTAGAAGGAGAAAAAAGAAGGAAGATGAGGATAAGGGTGGAACATAATCTCTTGCTGTCCGCTAAATCATCGTCACACATCATTCTTTCTCTCTTTCTTTTTTAAATAAGAAAACTTTACTACATTGCCAGAGTAATAATACTTACAAATATTTCCAGTTATTATATTACTAATTACATTAACAATCATTGGATATCTCATTATTTTTTATTTTTCTTTCTTTTTTTTATTTTTATTTTTTTTGATTAATCTTTCGTTTTATTTATCACGTTCAGTTACATTTATTCGGTTTATTCGGCAATACAACTGCAAACGTGTTTGTTCAGATTTTATACAATTTTGATTCTTTTCTTTTTTTGTTTTTTTTTTTTTTTTTTTTTTTTTTTTTATTGGATTAGGAATATTTAGGTATGGTCTTAGGTTTAATTTTTTTTTCATTTCGAATTGGTAATCTAAATAGATTTAGAAATTGGATTAGAAATATTGTGATATATCTAATTGTTTTATCCCCTTTTATTTTCTATACA